AACTTAAATATTGGGTGCTAATGGCTTTAATTGATTTTAATCAGAGCTCAGCTGTCGAGCTGTATCGGTCGTATCGGAAGTTTCGCCGTATCCAATATCTTTTTCTTCTCCTATCGGAAACTTGGTCGGAAGGAAAGTTGCCGCTCCTCTTCTCGACACTTGGAAAACTAAAATAGGGCGATCTGGGATATCTATTATCCTTAACGCCCCGCGCACCGATTGTCGTCTTTTTTCTACCCTCCGCCCGAGAGAGCGAGAGAGCGAGCGAGCAAGAGAGAGAGAGACCTGTCGTCCCATGCGTACCAGCGCAAAAATACTCTAGCTTAAGTGGGCTAATTAACTTTACCCCGGAAAAGCCTTTTTATTTAAGATTTGACGGAAGTTGAACTTTGGCCGCACTTAATTGAGTTTTATTTCGAGCCCTTTGCTCTGCCCGCGTAGAGCTTGCCACAGGAACGGAGCCGTCCTCTCGCCCTTCCTCAGACCCTCACTCGTTCTATCCGCAGGAATTTTCCTCGTCGCTCGTCGGTAGTTAACCGTGTTTTTTTTTTACCGACCTTACCGCGTTCCTACCGCCGCCCTTACGAGAGATTAGTTAGACTCCGGATACCTTTATCTACGCTAATTTTTGCGCCGCCCGAGAAAGATTCCTCGCGAGATTCCACATGTCTCCGGCCGTGAATAGAAGAGAAAGAGGAGACGCATTGCGGTGACGGCAATAGCGCTCGGGAATCCGTCTTGGACGATATAACTAATTTCATCCGGAACACCATTCCCCGTTACGGCGCACTCCGGAAGTCGAACTTTAAACTTGATCGAGTTTGGTTTCGTGCCCGCCGATAGACGCGAGTTTTGTGCTCTCTCTCTCTCTCTCTCTCTCTGTCTCTCTCCCCCTTTCCGTCTCCTCTCCCTCCCCGCTGTCTCTATCTCTATCTCTCCCCCTCGGCAACATCGGTATCCCGCGCTTCCCGCGCGTTTTCCACCGGGATTTTCCCCGTTGTTCGGTTATCGATCCCTACTGCCCCCTCGTCCCTCGCCTCGTCTCTTGTAGCACCCCTCAGATAACACTGCCTGCCGGTACTTTTCCGTCGTCGTTCGTGCGATGTTAAACGCGTGCGAAATCGACTCGGACCAAGTCGCTCCCGCGGGACAATTTCGCGCGAGTATATTTTGCAGAGCTCCAACCCCCCTCCCCCGAATCTTCTCGAGTTTTTACGCCTCTTCTCGCCGAAACTGCCGCGCCCATCCTCCCGCGCTTGCCCGATGAACGTCTTCACAAATCCCTTTCGATCGCTCTTGCATACTGTAGTAGATGTCTCGGGGAAAAAAAGGGCAAAACGCGCAGAGGATCCACTTTTCCCTTAGCGAGCGCGTAATCTGAGAATCTCATGATTTATTACGTTTCCATTCTTAATTAGTATCAAATATCCTGATTTTATTAATGAAGTTACCAATTAAATTTTCAGAGCGCAAATTTAACGGTTGCAGGTTAAATTACATTTAAACATCGTTAATCAACCTTGGAGAGAGATCGGATTCTAAAAACAAGTTTGATATAAATTACATGATGCCAAGTATCTGCTCTACTAGTATGTACCCTTTCTGAAACCCGTATCAGAGTATCTCTTTTAAATAGAAGCAGTAACAGAGGCGGCACTTTGCGATACACACTAGGGAACGAGCTCTTTTCAATGTTCGAGTAATTCAGTGACACGCTGATCTACTGAGATGTAACAGTGTGTCTCGTAAAGCGAGACGCATTTATGGATGAGTGCCGTTTTAAGTCCGCACGACGCCTCCGCGTCGTGACGCATTCAATCTCCGTTTCTTCATTTTCATTAGCAGCGCTGTCTATAGCGTCGCTTACGATGTTACTTCGAGGGGTCGCTGAAACATCCCTTTGACTAATCCTTTGTAATGCGCGCAAAGAGCCTGCAATGAGTTAGCATCTAGCTTCTCCGGTTGCCAATAATACCAAGAGTATCGAAAGAATTAAGAGCGAGCAAGAGAGAGAGAGAGAGAGAGAGAGAGAGAGAGAGAGAGGGGGGGGGGGATAACATGCATTAATGACAATTTTTTATATCGTGATAAATTTTACGACTTACTCGGTAAAATTTCAAACGTGAAAATTTTAAGTAAGACAATCGCGTCACGTATGCCGACCGGTACCATCACCTGGATATTTTAACAGAATAATAGTTAAAAGCTTATCTTTTATAGTAAATTTTTAAAATAGTTGACATCACTGTGTCTATTATTCCTGACTATAATTATTTTACTGTGCAATTATAGTTTCAAATGCTACATATTTTTCTATCAATGTATGCTTTAGATCTCGAGTAAACACAATGTGTTTATTATTTGTTGTAACAGGGCATTATTCGATTAAAGCAGGTGTTAGGTACAATGATACAAACCGTATTGCCAGTTTAAACCGCTCCATAAGCGCAACGCGTGCATGCGCTACGATTGACGGTGATATTGCGGCGCACGTATCTTTTATGTGTCGTTTCTTCCCTCGTTATGGCCACTTATCGCTCCAGATGGCCCACACTGTATATTCCATTATATTTCATTTCGCACGGACATGAATGTCGAACGACCTACGGTCGAAGTTTGTGGCTGTTGTTTGCATGGTGAAAAAAAAAGATTTTCCCTTCAAATTGACACTGACCGTAACCGTATACACTTTTTAAAGGAGAGTCTATGAAGTACCGATAAATAATTTTTGCAGTTGGAAGCCTCGCGGATCGTACCACAAAATTGAGATATCGCCATAGCAACGTTCATGGCAGTCGGATTCTTTTTTTTATTAATATTTTACTGGCAGCTCACATCCCCCGCGTTATTCTTCCGCGTCGCTGCTCGTTCCAAGCGAATGAAACAACGTATGGTCGAATAACTCCATTTGCTCGGAGGTTGTGCTAATTATGAAATAAACGACCGCCGTGAATATTACGCCATGAAAATTCATACGAGGACTTAACATACGTTATACGAGTACCTCGTTCTCTATCTTAATGTAGCTTTAAAGCCACAAGTCATATATTTGCGTTCTATCTTTTTCCTCGTTGTTAGCTTTACAGTTAACAGGATAAGCCAAAAATATCAGTTTCAATTGTCAATTGTTATTTCAAGAAATTCCTCGAATAATTGCGTTAAAGATAGATCGGAGGAAACGTTAGAGGTCGAGAAACGTAAAGAAAGTCGATCCGTTCAAGAGTTGCTTTAAAAAGGGCGAGGAGTAAAGAGACATCTTTTCTTAAAAATTGCGCGGCGAGCTCGGTATCGCAAATATTATCACGCCTGTTTTAGCGGATCGAGGATTAAAGGAGCGAGAATGCCGGCACACGATGTGCGCGCGCACGCATATCCATGCGAAATTGCGTGTACACGTCGCGGACACCCGGCGAATTCCCTCGTGCAGGCATGTCCAATCATTGGTGTAGGAATTAGAGTCTCGGTGCACACATACCTACCCCTCCCTCCCCGCGATGCTCGTCCACTCCCTCCCACCCACACTTGGCCCGCCAAATTAATGAACAGTGTCAACGTCGGCGGCGGCGGCGTCGCTACGCACCGCGCATACGGGATACGTTGATAAAATTCGCTGACGAATCAGTCGCATTTGGATAATTTCGTTATCCCGCCGCAGCCCGGGCCTTTCTGCGTGATGAAACCTTATTTGGGCGCCGCGCCGGGGGAACCCGCGGGACCTCGGCGCGGCGCGTGCGTTTACGCGAAATCGAATCGTAATCGGATTTCTCCGTTCGCTCTTTGCGGTTTTCGAGCTTCCAGAAATTTCGGACCGCGAGATTCGATTTGTTTAGAGCGTAAATGAGATTTCGCGCGGGCGCCGCGCCGTCCAAGGAATTTCAAGTTGATCTTTTAAATCGCGACCTTATTGAGACTTCTCATCTCTCGCCACGTCAATTAGCTTGGTAATTAAATCTCAAGTAAAGACTCGTAAAACTTGTATCTCTCTCTCAGAGTATAATCGAGAGGCAAGAACGCGCGATAGTTTAATTTCTCCATCGACGTTTCGGCAACCTTCGGTTGTTCACGCGAAAATTAATCGAATGCGCGACACCTCGAGTCAGGGATCTCAAAGAGGGCGCGGGGGCGTCGCAAGAAAGTATGAGCGTCGTTGGACCGAAGTGTCCCTAACCGACCCGAGTAACAATCCCTCTTTTTCTCATTTCAGACTGGCGACGCTGTCGGCGGCTACGGAGATACCGACGAGGAGGAGCACACCGACGTGGAAGACGACAACGGCGTGTGATAGCGCCGCTGGGGGGTAGTGGGGTTGAAAATCGGCGCTTGGCCGGTGTCACTCTCTCTCTCTCTCTCGCTCTGGCTGTCGCCCCTCGATCGCTCTCGGCTGTCCCACCAGAAATCTACTGCCCCTAACTTTCCCCCGTTCTCCACGCGTCGCGTCTCACCGCCGCATCCACGTGCGTGCACGCCGTACGCCGGTCACGCGTAGTCACGCATACAGATACGCGGTTTCGGGCCGCGGGAAGACAGGGAGCGAGAGAGCGAGAGCTCGCGAAGAGGGGGAACGAAACGAGGGAGGGGGCGCAACGACGTTACGCGCCTGCGCCCACAGTAGTGTAGAGCGGCGTGCGCGTCGCTTGATGGGGAGCGCGGCGCCGAGTGGGGAGCGCGCCGCCTGGTGGGGAGCGCTCGTCAACTGTCGCGACGTCAGTGCGACGGCGAGCGTCAGGGGGCGCGGATGGTTGATACTCGCGCGCGATTATAGTTTCCCCTCCGTCGCTCGTGCGTTTTGCGGACGGCGCTCGCGCGTGGACGCTTGAACGCGTGAACGCGAGTGTCGCGGCGACGCTCCTCTGGTGTTGGTGTGCCTCTCGGTGAACTGTCTGGCTCCGGTCGCGCGTACCACCATCGGCGTGCGCCGGCGCGCGTGCCGGTCCCCCGCGAGCGTGAATGTGCCGCCTGGCCGCCGGCGTGGCGGCCGACCGTCTCCACGGTGAGACATGCGTGCGGCGGGCCGCCGGTGGACGACCGCGGATGCAACGACCGCAACGACGGGGAACGACGTGGTCGCGCCACACGTGACTGCCGCCGCGGCATCCGCGCGCCTCCTCCCGGCGCAGTGAGTGCCCCGCGACGAGAGAAAGTACCGTGCGCGCGCGCGCGCGCGCTCTTACCGCCTAGCCCGATATAGCGGAGTCGGCTCGCGCGCCCGGGCGTTGTCGTCGTCGTCGTCGCTCCATCGCGCGCGGAGCGCAGTGGTGATACGTAACGGTGCGCGTTGCGCGTCCGCGACTCCTGGATTTCGTCCCGCTCCGTTGTCCGCGTGTGCCGTGCCGTGTCGTGCCGTGCCGTGCCGTGCCGTGCCGTGCCGTGTCGTGCCGTGCCGTGTTGTGCCGTGCCGTTGGCGGTGGCCGCGGAGGTGAGAGACTGCGAACCCTGGCACGTCGTACCGCGCGTCGCTGCGACATCATCGCGTGGAGAAGATGAGGCGCGCCAGCCTCCGCGTTGCCCCCAGGATGCAACCGGGACTGCTGTCCTGCTGCTGCGTTATCGCGACCGTCACCCTCGCCCTGGCCGCCTGGCAGGAGAACGTCAGGCCGAAGATGTACGTCCAGCTAGGTGAGTGGCAGTCGTTTGTCATTTCGTGCGCTGTACATTGCGAACGAGTGCAGTAGTCACTCGCCGCCTCGAGGCGATTTCCAACGGTGAAGATGGTGCGTTACTCCAACGGTGAATCCTAGACGTGGATTAACGGGCGAATTAAGGAAACCTACGGGAAAGGATGTAAACGGAGTAATCCAAGAGAACGGTGGGCGACTCTTGGGAGCTCGTGCCGTTATTCGCCTTTATTCTCGACCTTCGCTGGCCGTTGTTCGAATATCGATACTCGGCCACTTTGCAGATTGCGTAGTAACAGGCCACGCCGCGAGGGTTAAAGGTCCTCGCTCTCTCCCTCTCTCTCATCAAGTTCAAAGTCGCGTATTCTCCGCCGGCCGAGAGATCCTCGGCTCTGCGGATTGCGCGTAATTGACGGCGAGGTTGCAGCGAGCAGCCGGGGTCACGGCACCTTCTCCCACTCGCGGGTGGATTCCGCCTCGCGCGACAAAGGGTTGTTTCGCTCCGCGGGTCGATTGTTCGACCCGGACTTCGATCGACCGATCTCTCGCCGGCCACGCTCGCAGCTGCGACCTCCTCCGCAGTGATGCCAGAAATTAAATCACGGCCCCCGTGGGACACGGGTTGGAGGGGACGCTTGCACAGAGAAAAGAGCCCACGTTCGTGCGCTTTGAGCGCCAATCAGCGTCGCGCTAAACGTCCCCTCGATCTCGCGTCCAACGGGGCCGCGTCCCGTTTCTGGCACCATCGCCCCTCCGCGGAAATTGCAACGCGCCGCCCCGTCGCTCTTGTTTTATTCAAATTCTCACAGCTGATTTGGAATCCGGTAATTCATCTCCCTTTCGAGTAAGGGTGGGAGACCCCGCGCCTCCCCGCGTTATTCATGTAGCCCGCGGCAATTTTTCACATATTCGCCATGTTCTACACCTGGAGCCGGGCGAGCGTTTTCACATCGAATACATGAATATTGAATATTTGAATACTGGGCGTTTTTGTGGAATAAAATTATTAGTGCGGCGAAACGGGGGGGGGAAAAATTTTCCTCCCCGGAGTTATCCCGCGTTTGATTCGACGGCTGTGGGCCGTTGCGCCGCTTCGTGGCGATGTAGCGCTCGAGCATGCACGCCGTGATAATTACGATGTATCTCGTATTCAAAACGCCGCGGCAAGAATAGCTCGTCAAACCGAACATTGCACATTTTTAACGTGGAATAACGAATCGGGGGGGGAGCGTTATTGGTTTCGCAGAACGAACCGAAGTGGTGACCGTTTAAGTTTACAAGACGTAAAGACATGCATTGTACCTTTATACAAAGAAACATTAATATGCGCACAGATCTTTAATCGGGAGAGGAAAAGAGGCATTTTTGTTTTCATGTCATTCTACGAGAATAGTATCTCGCGTCTCATTAGAACTGCCTTTATTAACTAGTACGCGATACTCTCGCTGCAGCGGATATCAAAATAGAGATTATTATTAACATCAGTTTCTCGCGGAAGATAAACAGACGTGCCGGTACGTGCGTTGCAAAGTTGTTCCTGTTTACCGAAATTACGAGGCTCGATAACAAGACTGCGTATGAAACTGTGGCCCGGCTTTCCGTTCATTTCACGTGGCGGTGCAGCTGCGAAAAAGCCCTTTCATCGTTTCCCTCTCTCGGGGGGGGGGGGGGGGGTTGGGAAGCAGCGTCGTTTCTTCCCGCGATCCTCCGGAGCTCGCGGCGCTTTTGTCAAGCTCTCTCGCGCGCGCTACTCCCTCGCGTAACTAATTGAAACGGACACGCCGCGCCGACGGTGAATTGGCGCGCGTTATCGAGAATCTGGATCCAGAGCGGGCGAGGGCGTCGAAGAGGGACGCCGAGGGGGGAAGCGGTGTATAAAGTGTCCTACATCCGAGGCACTCGACCTTAACGGCGCTCCGCGTGTTTCGTACGTTTCGCGTAGAAGCGACGCCCCAACATCCATCACTCTTTCCGCGACGGTACGATATCTCGACGCGGGGAAGGAACGAAATAAATTGCTCCGAAGTGGCTGCGCCGCTCCATAGCGCAGACACATGCTCCGCTGGTACACTCCGACGTTGTATTGCGAGAGAGCGAGCGAGCGAGCGCGCGCGAGTGGGTCCGAACGGTTTGAATGATAGCTGGAATGTTTAGAGCTCTCCATTTGCCGCGCCGCTATTTTCCGCGCCTCTCCTCGCGGAGATATGCATTTAGGAAGGGGCGTTATTAACGTCTTCTCGCGAGTAAGTATCCCCTTTCGAGTCTGCGGTTAGATTCTTGAGTTTATTCGCGAGAGAAGCGTATGCGCAAATTCTTCTCCAAGGGGGTAACCATGACTTGATGTAATCGCGGGACAGTGTCTCCGAAATCACTGTGAAATCCTTTGCGC